TACGCAAAACATCCGGTAATCAAGTGATTTTCATGCGGATGATGCATTCGAAAAAATCATTTCCAAAGTTTTTTTTTGTTTTGCGTACAATTTTGGAGGTGAAGGGAACATTTATTATTCTGTGAACAATTTTGCGTGAAGGTTTAATATTCTAGGAGAGAAATAAGTTCATTTGTTCGTAATTTTCGGGGAAGCGGTGAGAAATGAAATACTTTACTTATCATGATGCGAATTACACTGAACTATGAATCCGATTTAGGGGAAAAAAGATTATGAAATTTCAGGTTTTAGGTAGAATTCAAGGAAATTTACGAGTTTTCAGTAGCAGTGAGACGGAAATTTCCCAACTTGATTGAATTTTCAATGGAACATGAATATTTAGAAACAAAATGACATGAATTTTCCTCATTTTACCGAATTTTCACGAAATAATTGACCTGAAAAATCAAGTATTTGATGATTTTCACATCATTTTAAACAAAAAATCAATGGAATATTAGAATTTTTAATTTTTAACATTTCCTGAATCTTCCACTCCGCTGCAGAACATCAAATACTACATCTCTATTGGTTGACATTCAGATGGGGGCATAATCAATCAAAACATGAATATTTGGAGCAGAATTACTCTAAATATTCAATAAATGAAAACTTAAAAAATGTATTTAATGGAATTTTCCGGATTTCTATGAATTTTTAGAGAATAAGTAAACTAAAATTTCCAGTTTCCGTTGATTTTCTCACTCAATTCTCATTTTTCAATGACGAATTTCTGAGAAATACTGTAACATTTCACTTCGATAAAAATTTCCAAAAAGTGTAGCAGGAATTTCATTCAAAATATTTCAACAATACTTAAATTTCATGAAATGGATAATAGAGCATATTATTGTACTCGGATTCCAAAGATTCTCGATTGGAAAATCCAGGGAGAAATTTCCAACATCAGTAAAAGCCACAACAATAAAAAAATGCACACGCATTGTCGGTGGATCGTTAAGGACTCGTGTCAGCGATTTGGCGCAGTCTTAACGTTAACAAAACCCACCGAGATACGAGTACGACGTGATCCGGCTGCCGCATGAGCCGGCAAACTGTACTAATAGGGAGATTCAAAGATACCGTGTCTCGGTATATCGTATCTTCTACCGGAATACGAATGAACTCGATAAGTGGATAGGTGGTGGCTGCTACTCAACCACTCGACTCTGCAGAAAAAAAAAAATTAAAAAAAAGGTACAGGACCATCTACCGTTTGAGGTCAATGTGCAGGGTCAACTTTAAGGACTTCCACATGCTGCCACAGGCAATTTTTTGATTATTTATGCAGCATCTCAGTGCTCCTTAAAATTCAACTGATGACGCTTAATCCATTAATCACAACTGGATGCATTGCTTACAATGATCTCAGATCTAATTTCTTCCCGAAATTTACAATCTCGCCGCAAGATTTTTCGCGTTTTGAAAACTTCTTAATTCGTGGTAATTTTCAAGACACAAAAATCTTCTGCAATTTCCTTGTCAAATGCTTTAACGAAAAACACAATTCTGACATTTAGCTCACTCAGTGCCTCTTGCAAATAACTATACATTTTATATAGCCAATGTAAATATTCTGAATAGTTCCTTAAGCAAACGAAGGTATAGATTATGGTAATTTAACGGCAAATTAAAGTTTTTACTGTAATTACTCTTCCCAAGCATTAGGATCTTGTATCCTTAGGCATTAATTAATACTAATAATAATAATAATAATAATAATCAGAAAACCTCTAGTGTTTTAAAGAAAATTCAAGCAATATCATTGGGGATTTCACTTCTGATTTTATTCGAAAGTTATTTCAATCCTCTTATATTTATTGAATTACCTAGTATTTAACACCATCGACTCCCACAATTCCCTTTAATTCTCGGCATTCATGCCGCTGAGAGCCTAGCGGTCAGATCACTCCACCTCTGTCACTCCCCTAAACAACTATTTATGTAACCTGGAGTGAATAAAATGAGTCGAATAAATTCATTCAGTTGAAATAAGATTGATCGACCCCCATAAGAGTCTGGCTTCAATAGCCCTCAATGAGAGATCATTGACCTTTTCCTCAAACAAAATATAAATTTGAATTCATTCACATTCAACAGGTGCCTCAGATCTCCAGAATTTAAAAACCCCGCAGTCCCACGAGAGAAGTCTCACAAGGTTTTCATGATAAACAACTGATCGCTCTGTTATAGAATGAGAATTACACGTTTGTTTCACGCCCCAGTGATCCCAGATACCTAAACACGAATAGCCTATTCGTCTACACGAATGTACTCTGTACAAACGTTTTCATGCATTCTGCTTAATCGCGCTGTTATTTTTTAAAATTAATCATTCATCGGGTATTGATACGTTGTGCGGTGATCCCATGTAGAAGTTACTTAGCAGATCGTGTGTCCTGAACACGTTATACGAATGCTGAGAGACACCCATGTGCGTTTAATACACCCGATGGCTTCCACTTTCGCGATTAAGACCGTAACTCGTAGGGTTACGTACGCGCGGACACGGCGTTCGACTTCTCTCGAAAGTTCATTTCCTTTCGGAGTTGCAATGCGTATAGAATTCCTTTTTTATGCACCTCTCGATATACCCCGGGGGAGGGGGGGGGAGGGGGGCACTCACTGCCTGAGAGACATGATCGGACGTTTGGCAGATATCAAACACAATCCGGATACTTGGTTCTGCTTCCGTGTGCACATGAGGAAAATTTTTCAGGAGTTGATTGACACGGAAATATTACTGTTTCGATTGTAATGAGTTCTCGGGATATTCTCAACTTCCGGGGAGAGTTCATGGAGATTAATTGTAATCAAAATTTTCCGGTAAAATCGGTAACAATTATTGATTAAATGTTGTGAATACTGGCTGAAATTTTTGGCTGCCATTTCCGGTGTAGTTCTTGGAAATTAGCACATTGTAGTTCTACTGGGATTTCGGGGAATTTTGTCATTGGTCATTCACAATTTTCGGGAAAAATCAATGGAAACTGAATTTTCATTCAATGATTTCAGGAAAATGGATATAAATCATGATAAAGGTGATATTCTTGAGTTTTTAATTCACTGAGGTGTAAGTTGGGAAATATTTGTCTTCCTGAGAATTTCATGGAATTTTTAGTTAAATCTGAAATTAATATTCTTTTCTCACAGTAAAAATTGCTCTTTGTTATCGATAACTTTTAAGAACACCGGAAAATTGGAAAAATTACGAATGTTTGTATTGTTGTATTGTATTATTAATTATTGCTATTGCTGTTACTCATTTTTGCCCTCTCTCTTCATTTTCAATTTATTTATAATAATAATAATAGTTTATGCAGAAGCACCAACAGAAGAAAAATTTAGTTTTTCAACTGAGAGACAGTTTTTCCTTTCAATTAAACAAGTCCTTGAAATTTCAGTGGAACCGTAACTTGATGAAAATTTCCACAAAGTGTATTGAAAATTTCGCAAAATCATTCACAGTGTACCTCAACATATTCAAATATCACATTTTTAAATTCCTTACACTGAGGTATGTTCGTACCATGTTTATATTTCGTGGTGGCGACCGGTTGGCGGGCGACTGCGAATAACATAAACAAATTATGGAGTAAAGAACGAAGTAAATATGAGTCATAAGTAGAAATTCGGAGGTAGAGTAAAAATCGAAATGCAAATTATCGAAATTGAATTCAATCCACAGGAAAATTCTGGAAGCCAATGCAATATTTTTCAATCTTGATTTGAGAAAGATTTTCTAAATTTGTGAAACATTGTTATCAATTCCACTGATTTTTCTTCATGCGTAATCTCAATATTAATAGAATGCTGAAAATGATTTTCCCTAATTTTTCTGTACTAGTTGAAATGGAAGATCTGAGTTTTCAATGACGAGATTTCCTGACATTTCAGATCAATAATCCTAACCATAAATATGAGGAGTACTGACAATTTTCTAAAAAATCGTTTCCGAAAAAAAAACGTCTGAAAATATCTCTGATTTTTATTTTATTTTATTCTTCCTCTTTCACGTCTCGCGTGCTTTCACCTCCTCGTTCTCTCGCCGGTGAGAAACTAATATTTTCGTAAGAGATTCCATCCTGTCCGCACCGGGGGAAAACTGCGCTTTCATCGGGGCCGGTGAAACACGATACCGGGCTTTTCAATTCTTTTTTATTTCACATTCTTTTTCTTCTCTCTTTGTTTTTTTTTCTCTCGCTTCTGCTTACGTAAGGACCGAATGAATGAAGCACGATGCACTTCTCCCAGTGGGTAAATGTATTTCGGGGGGAGTAAGACTATTTTCGTGGAATAATAATCCGGAGTTTGTTGTAGACTCGAGATTTATTCAGTTACGTTGAAGATTTTATCTTATTTTTAAAAGAGAGAGAATCCGAAGGTCTAGCTGAGTGTTTGGAGTTTCCGATTTTCATTAAAAATTACTAACGGAGGGAAATGTTTGGAAAATGTAAAATTGATTGAATGTTTATTGCTTCCATGAACAAAATTTTTCGTTTGACTAAGAAACAAAATTTATTTTCTCAAAGAAATCAGTCGAAATTTTTGCAATGGAAATGAAAAAATCCCAGCCAAGTCCCTGAATTTTCTAATATTCGCTGTAAATTATGCGTAAGTAGAGCAATTTGCTTAGAAAATACGAAATCCCCTAGGAATTTTATTAAACGATGGGACAATCTTTTAAACAGATCGATACAATTCTCCATTGTTATAAGAACGACCGATTTATTTATCACCAATTCCATTACGAATCTGCAAAACTGCAAAAAAACTACAAAACTGCAAAAAAACTTCTGTTATCCAGAAGAATTCAGCACAAAAGTTTTATGAAAACCCGGAAATCCCTGTGAAATCTCATTTAAAGTTGTTTTACCTCCGAGAGCATTCCAACAAGACTAGCATAAAATTCACGACTCATGCAATACATCAAAATGATAAATCGTTGTAAATATTTTCAGCCCCAGAATTTGGTTCTAACTGGTGAATTCCCGGACTGCGATGTCAAGCTGTGTGACTTTGGAATCTCCAGATATATAAGTCATGGCGCTGACATCCGTGAAATTTTGGGCACGCCCGATTATGTTGGTAAGACGATTTATCACAGCAATAAACTGCAAAAAATTATTGGTCAAGCATAATGCCGCGAATATTGATGAATATTCCTGTGGGCTAAAGTGCAGAATTCAAATCATAAAGTGAAAGTGATGATAAAAGTGAAATGAATGTCAACAATTTCACACAATTCTTCTCTCACTCAAGTCTCCCTCCTCCACTCCCCATAACTCCACCAACCGGTCTGTTAACTAGCTGAGAAATGAGCCCACAAGACATTATAATAACCATTTCGGTAAAATTATCAAGGGAATAAAATATATATCACTGGTAAAACTACCCACGTGTCGGGCAATACATCACATGAAATTCTTTAATCTCAGTGGTAAAATCCGGTGATGCACTCATGTAGTTATTGCATGTGTGTAGCATGCTTTTGAAGATGGAATATATAACGCACGCGCCTTGTGACATTCAGTGTATAATTTCACGAGTGCCGTGAACGCGTTTATTGCACCACCCGGGCAATTTAATCGCTATCACTTTTCACTGCCATAGGAACTACCAACTTGAGAGACATTTCGAAACCCCTTGTGTGTTCTCAACATACTGAAACGCCCTTTTGTGACTACATGTTTAATGTCTTTCATTCAAGCAGTCAATTACAATAAAATAATAATGATAGTTGGGATGATTTCATTCATTAGTTGAGAGTTTTATGTGATGGATTAATGAACTTTTATCTTAAATTGGAAAAAAGAACACTCATTGGGAAAATTGATCGGCCTTCATGACGCGTATTTATTTTAAACTTCTCTGTTTTTTATAGAAACAGTTTCTTATCCTGAAACTTCCATCTAAGACCCCCCAGAACGTTGAATTTTCAGGAAAGATTCTTTGAATGACTGAAAATTTTCAGAGGGATACGGCCTTTTTTCATGAATAATTCTGAACAACCGTTTTTTGACTATATTTTTAGTGTTTCAATCAAGCACTCAACTCCAATCAAATAATTATGGGAAAGATGATTTAATTTATTAGTTGAGAGTTTTATGTGAAGGATTAATAAACTTTTATCTTAAATTGGAAAAAAGAACACTCATCGGCATTTTGAAAATTGATGGGCCTTTATGACTCGTCTTTATTTTTAACTTCTCTGTTTCTTATAGATTTATTCTTAAACTTCCATCTAAGACCCACCAGAATGTTAAATTTTTAGGAAAGATTCTTTGAATGATTGACAATTTTCAGAGGGATACGGCCTTCTTTCATGAATAATTCTGAACAGCCGTTTTTTGACTATATTTTTAGTGTTTCAATCAAGCACTCAACTCCAATCAAATAATAATTATGGAAAAGATGATTTTATTCATTAGTTGGGAGTTTCATGTGATGGATTAATGAACTTTTATCTTAAATTGAAAAAAAGAACACTCATCGGGAGTTTGAAAATTGATGAGCTCTAATGACTCGTCTTTATTTTAAACTTCTTCTGTTTCTTGGAGAAATCCAGGTTCAGTTCGTCTTTCTGTAGATTTATTCTTAAACTTCCATCTAAGACCCCCCCAGAAAGTCGATTTTTTAAGAAAGAGTCATTGAATGACTGAAAATTTTAAAGGGTTACGGCTTTTTCCTCATGAATAATTTACAAACAATCAATTTTCCGTCTTAAAAATAATTTTCGCGGAAGATGATTCACTTGAATTGACGAATTCCCGAAAATTATGTGAAAAAATCCTAAAAAGCTGTACAAGACACACTTGGGAATATTCTTGAGAACACACGATTATAAATTTTTGATCGATGAAAAAACTAGTAGAAACTGAATTTCAGTTGAAATTTTCACTGAAAATTGAGACAATTTAGATGAGTAGATTCTTGAATGTTAGTTCAATCGTCAATTCAGGTCATCTTGGAATAGAATATTCAAGATTAGTGGAAATTCAAGGAAGTTGTGATACTTCCATCTTATTTATTTTACTTGAAACTGTTTGAGTCCACATGAATTCTACCTAACACTTGAAATTTCATAAGTTTTTTCTTCCTAAAATAAATATAATCCAAAATTGCAATTTCATGGATAATCAACTAGTAATTGTCAAAAGAGAGAGAGAGAGAGCAATCATGAAATTCCAAATTTTTTATTAACCAGAAAACTAGAATTCCCCAATTCATTTGAACTTTCCATCAAAACTTGAATATTCAGTGCCAAATTCCTCTGAATTTCCCAATAAATTCTTCAATTGAAAACTGAAGAATATATTTACCTGAAGTTTCCCAATTACTATTAATTTTCATAGAATAATTGACCTGAAATTAACAGTTTCGATGAATTATCCCCTCAAATTTTGACTGTTCAATGCTGAAATTCCGGGGGAACTATAACGTGACAAAATCCCCTAAAACTGAGCCGGAGATGTCAGCCAAAATTTTTCCACAGTGACCAAACCTCTCCTGACAATCACACCTAGACGATCTACAGAATCCCATTTTCCCAACGATCCCCAATCCTCTCAGAAATGCACATCCATCCTCGGAAGAATGTTTGCGTGCCACCATCGGAAGGAAATCCTAACGATTACGTTCTCTTACAGCCCCCGAAGTCCTCAACTACGAGCCAATCAGTCTAGCAACGGACATGTGGTCCGTGGGAGTGTTGCTCTACGTCCTCCTCACGGGATGTTCACCGTTCGGTGGTGACACGAAGCAGGAAACATTCTGCAACATAAGCCGATGTCGCCTCGATTTCCCGGACGATCTGTTCGAAGATGTATCCGAGGCAGCAAGAGATCTCATGCGAAAACTCATGGTCAAGGACCCAAGGTAACCACCACAATACATCACAAATCAAGCATTCCCAGCCCAAGACGTACGTCTCCGAGATATCGACCGGAAAAAAAAATTCTCGAAAACTGATAATAATTCTCAAGATTGTGCGTTTCCCCAAGACTTTATCATTTATCTCACCCCGCTAACATTGATATACTGACGTGGAATAATCATCTGGGATTTATTTACCATTCTTTATTTCCCCATTTTTTTTTTCTCCCACATATCAGTACCTTCCTCTGTTGAATCGTCGCAGAAATGTTCCAAGAAATCCACACACACTGTACCCGGTATACACATCCCAGCTGTATCGTAATACGAGACTCGTGAATCGTTTGTTTGAACATTGAAGATTCCACACAAGTTTTTTTTTTTTTCACGATATGGCGCCGGTGTCAAATAAAACATTGTATAAATCCCCCCTCTTCAAATTTATTCATCACGTGTTGCTATTCAACTCAAACAACTCACCCCCTTCATTGTACTATAAAATAGCATTAACATTGTAACTCATCATCATGACAGTAACAATAAAAATGTCTAATCGTTTCATTATACTTCCGCGATTGTACGAACCACGCAATGCAAATTTTACAGAGTCGTTGACCTGGTCACTTCACTATTCATCATTTTCATGTGTATATTATGTAATTTACTCCGAGAACTTGGGGAATGAAGATAAAATGTGCAGTCTCGTTGAATATCCCAAAACACTTTCATTATTGCTTTTTTCAATTAATTTTTTACGATTCTCATTGCAAAAAGCAATACGACCGATGAGAATGACATATTCCAATTTATCAGCTGTTCAGATTTCATATTACAGTAAATGATTTGCTCATGTTTTAATGCCTTTGCTCACTGAATAAGATTTTGATCATAATTGCAACTCAATTTCTTTTAGAACACACTTTCGAGTGTGAATTTCTATGCCCACAGTGTCATCAATTTTTAGTTAGTTCACACGGTAATGCAATTAATCTGTTGTTCATCTCATCAATATAATTTCGTATTCAGAACATTGTCATCTCGTCTTTTCACCAAATTAAAAAATAAAACCTAATTTGGAATATTGATTTGCAGCTTCTTTTCATTCACATCAGAAATTTCATGTGTGGTTATTAATACTATTTGTTTAAAGTGAAGAAATCGATCATGGCTTTCACTACATGGCAGTTAGATTCTTCTATCGTTAACGTAAAAGTGTGAAATAATCTCATAATTCTAGCTATTAATTCTAATCAACGCTGTTCCAACAAAACCTCAGTAAACGCTATATTAAGAAAGTAGACTTCTTCTATTTTCCTCTGAACCTAAACGATTTGGACAACTATGTGGAATCAGGGGGTTTTGGACACAGTAAAAACCACACTATCTCATGGTCAAATATCGCGACGCAATGTAATTATAAGTTATATTGATATTTCAAGACTGATGATTTCTTGTAATTAATTTCTACACCCTGATGAAGGTTAAATTTTAATCGAAACGTCATGATATTTGACCATGAGATAGTGTGATTTTACTGTGTCCAAAATCGCGTGATTCCACCTCATATAATTCGTTTATTCATGTTTCATAGAATGGTATTCCATTCTTTTTTGTTTATTCGACGGCTTTATGAAAACTCGACGCAAGATGTTGGTACTCATGAGAACCGCCTTGCTTTCTACATTCGTTCGAGATATTGCCCCTGACATCTTCCATTCCATGATATTATCTGATAAACAAGACGGCTGTTTTGAAGAGAAAAATTGAAATATTTGTGACCAAATTTCGGATTCTGAGCTTCACGCATTTTCTAAAACCGTCATATCTTCACGTTTCATAACATTCTGTGTCACGTCCAGGCAAAATTAGAAAATCGTCGAAATAAACGAGTGCGAAGCTTCCATATTCGGAGGCGAAAAAGTCATGTAGCTCTTAAATTGCAAGAAAACCCTCGCACATGTCATTCACTCTCAGCATTGGAAAAGCGGAAGGAACGCTTCCTCCGCCTATCGAAATTCCTTCCCGCTATCAAATGTCCCTTTTCGCAGAGGAAGTCCCTATCTCCCGATAGTAATATTCTCACAAAAAAAAACGTAAACACAATGCTCTTATCACTCGCGAGGCTTCATTTTTATCAAATGGGAGCATTTGTAATCGCGAAAGTGCCCTCAATGCCCCCGCCCTTTTTGTCACACAACTCCCCACGACGTTGCATAACGAGTTGTGCCGTTATTGAAGACATCCTGGAGTGCTAGAGCGGAAGTAACGATGACGGACCGGTCTTCTCCTTCCATTCTCTATATTCTCATCCTCGCTAAAACTACCAATTTCATAATCCCATTACGCTTGTTATTATTCCCTGATAACTTACGGTATCTACAAACCAAGTCTCGAATCGTAAACAAGTTTGCTCGAAAATTATTCTGTACTGAGAGACAGAACGACCTAATGTCACAAAAGAATTTCTTTTTGACTTCCATCAATTTATTGCAGACATATAATACTGAATGGGAATTTCATTTTGTTCGAAATGAGATACTATCATTTTTTGTCGAAGCTTTTAGTATTTTCTTTTAGCTTTTAGTATTTTCAAAAACTCAACTGGGAGATAAGTCGACTTGAACCGTTTTACCACTTCGCAACTGATATTTACCTCAACAAAATTTCGCGACATGACTTCCCTTTCTCTAACAATCCAAATACCTCGCCCCCATTCAGAATGACTCACCAATATTCTTCTTTTCCAGCCAACGCCTGACGGTGACGGAGTGCCTGGAGCACCCCTGGTTCACCGGCTGCAGAAGCCCAGAGACACCCCTAACAATCTCAACAACCGAAGACCTCCCAGACGACAGTTCACTAAGTCCACCACTTCCCGCCCTCCCAGACTCCACATTACCAGAAAGATCTTCAACTCCCGAGCCCCCAGCTGTGACCCCCTCCGATTCGGTCCCGAGATCGTCCCTCGAGTCAGCAGCCCCAGAAGTGGAGAAATCGCTGCCTAAGGAGCCCAAATTCGAGTCGAGAACACTGCCCAAGATGACGGAGTACAGGAAGTCGCCGAAGCAGCCAGCAATGCCCTTGAGGATTGGCCTGAGTCCAGACAGGAGGGACACCTTCAAGAAGAACATGGACTCCCTCGCGCAGAAATTCTCGTCAGGTGAAATCGTCATTATTGAGCAGAGTGTTGGCACTCAGAGACGAGCAATCGGTAATCACACGATGCCAGCTGGTGAAGTCTTCAAGTGCACACCGGTTTTTATTCTCGGTGAGGAGCAGCAGTGCAGCGACAGCGGCAGCGACACTGTATCTGAGATATCAACAGACAGTTCGAGTGATCGCAGTAGTATCTACTCAGACGATTCACTCGATTTCATTCTCTATGGCAAGAGCCAGGGCAGGGCAAGCTTTCCTTTCGCTGGTACTGAGACAGACAGGTGGGATCACAGGCATCACACGAGACCCTGGCCCAGGGAGTGCAATGGCGTTGTCAGTAAAGCTCTCAGTCGTTTCACAGCTGATCCCTCCAGTAAAGCTTCCAGGGCGACTGTGCCACCGTCTAGCAGAGCGAAGACTGGTCTTGAGGCCCTCAGGGAACGTGGTGGCAATCTTGTCGTCATTCGCGAGCCTGTCAGGGCTGGGAGGTACACTAGGTATAGCGAAGTTCAGTGCGAGTCTGTGCAGGCGAGAATCCGGAGGTTCCAGGTGCATGGGGGATCGTAAACGGGAGCTTAGGGTTAAGTAGGGATTTTTAGGTAATCGTCGATCTCCTGAAGGATGATAACACGGAAAACAGGGAAATTGTTGTCTATGATCTTTGAGGGGACGTGGGAGTCGCACGGGGAGAATAGAAGGGATAGCAAGATTGGTGGAAAATTAGTCTTGACATTTCGAGTGATACACTTTTAATAAGATTATCATTTTGGTATTGATTAATTAAAGTGATTGGAAATTATCGAAATTCAGGCAACTACTGGTCTGAATTCTCAAGCTGTTTAAAATTCAATTGTGTGTAATCGTTAATTTGCTTGCAATTCAAGAAAAAAAACTTCTAATTGTGTAATAGCTAATTGTTCTTCCGTGAGAATTGAAAGTCTTGAAGGAATTGTTTTTGTTCAGATATTGTTTGAATCAAACACTAGACGTTTGTGTGAAATCGAATCTTATTTCTTTCGAGTAGTTTCGATTATTAAAAATATTATTGGATACAATTGTGATTGGAATCCTTTACGTTCACTTTGAATTGATCCCCTGTCCCCTCAAGATGAGGTTTAAACTATTGTTTATTATCTTTGAGGGGACATATGGAGGTCTTACAGAAAGTGTAAAATGGATTCCAACACTGAAATATCTTTAAATTCTTAACATTATCAACATTTTGGTGTTAATGAATGAAAATTATTAAACATTATTGAAGTTCAAGCAACTATTGTTCTGAATTCTCAACCTATTCAACGTTCAATTAAATTTAATTGTCAATTTGACATTAAATGAAATTCAAATTCATAATACTAAAAATTGAAATGCAACTGTTACTTAAATTTCGAGAAAATTCCAACAGTGAAATTGTCTTTCTTTTTTAAGAACTGAATGTCTTGACTTCTCAGATTATTGAATAGAATAGAGCATCCAAGAAGAAATAGTTGTGGTTCCAATATTATTTGAATCAAACACTAGACATTGGGTAAAATTGACTCTCATTTACTTTGGGTAATTTCAATTATCAAAAAAACTTGAAGACAGTTGAATTTGAATCCTTTTTTATCTCTCCGAATAGACCTCGCGTCCCCTCAAAATGAGGTTTAAATTCAGGGTTGTGAGTGTAAACACGTGTGAATGAAAATTTTGGAAAATTTTTATTGTAAATAGAAGGAATGATTGAATGAATTGAACCATCAACCTGGTGTACATAATATCACATACGTATTACGGATTGATGAATGAGTGAGAAAGTTAGAGAGGGAGAGAGAGAAAGAATGAGTCGTGAGATTAAAGTGAAATGCGGACGCAATTTGTCCTCTGCCGATTTATCAATAGACTGACTGGCCGTCCCCACGAGATAATTACGAATCGGATTGAGTACGCAATGTACCGCTAAGTGTTCGTCAAAATAAACGCCATATTATAGATGAATTGACCAAGACGTTCAGTCGTAAAAAGGTGTCACAGTAATTATTTCTATTGATATTACTGCGATACTTTTTTACGAATTCAACGTGAAGAACTTTAAATATCTTGGGTGCCTTTGTTAGTAATCCTTAAGTCCACTGTATACAAAATGCACAAAAAAAAATGAACCACAAATATTTCCAGGAAATGTAGTGCCTACTTCCGTATCCACCGAGTTATCAGTTCAATTGTTGAATGATAATCGTGTGATACAAGATGTTTCATTTTTTTTCATGATTCAATTGCCACCTATTTGATGAATTTAGGAATGAAACTTTTTGATAATATTATTGTAATGGGGGCCTTGAATTTTTTCACCTTCGTTATTCAACAGTGCTGTGCCTTATGCAATCCCGATGAATTTTTTATAACGTCGTACGATCAAAATTGAGAGCCTAAACGAGTTTTTAGGCTTCTTTAATTCATGTCGCTGACATTTTCACATCAAACTTCGCCATTTAGCCTTAATAAAATCAATGGTGAATGGTTTAAGTTAATTACTCATTCAATTAAAAATTATTGTTCAATAGGACATCAAGTTGTCATGTTCTTTCGTCTTTAGACAGACTGAGTCAATCACTTTATCAGAATATTATCAAAAAATAATAAAATGTATCAAGTGTTCTCAGGTAGAATACAGTGACGAATGCGATAATAAATCCGCTGAGTGATTACAATTAAAATTATCAGTATGGCGTTGTAGGAAGATTAATTCGTGTACATTAGTATTTCATAATTTAATTTATCATTTAATATCTCCTACGAATTTTTGTCTCCCCTTTTTTTCAACCTTAAATTATTCTGGATTTGAAGCTGGTGATGGCATGTTTATTTTCTCTCTAGAAGGTTTTTTTTTCTTTATCATCTTTTCTCTTTCTGGGCCAACAGCGACCATGTGCGATCAAGAGTGTTGCACCCCTATTTGTAAATGCTAGTCATAATTTTTTGTATCACTTTGAACGCACCTGGTCAAAGTCTGTTGTTTAAGTGTAATTACTATTATTTTTTTTTTCTACAGAATATACAATACTCGGTTTAATGAATAAAAATTGATGCTCGCTCAATGTACTTTCCTTTGTGATTCGAGAAATTTGGTTATATAGAATGAAATTCAAAGATTAAAAAACAATGGAGAATAAAATATAAAGCATTTCTTGTATTATAGCTGTTCTGGAGACAAGATTGTGGATGAAACATCCAAGTTAATTATTGGTCTACTTAAGAAGTATTTATTTTATTATTATTTTTCATATAAAATTTATAGAGAATGATTTATTTAAAGAAATTTTTGTATGTTTTACATGGAGAAAAATAGAAAAATTCCCGACGATAATTGTAAATTATTATGGCACTTGGATGGCCTTCCACCCTCTTGACATGTCCAATCATCAATTATCATTACATTATAGTTATATTATTAAAATAATATAAAAGCATACTTATCAAAAAAACAAAACAATCGTTTAGTTGATAAGTTCCAAAATGTAAATACTATTTCAATCATTGTATTAATTTTAATGACTATATGAAATAAATGCTATGATACATCTACACAATTGCACATGAGTCGTACGCTCCTTTCGTCTTTATCTCATTCGTTGTCTGTGGACCATTAGTCTACGGTTTTAACAATGTTTTTGTTCGTCAACTATAAATAGTCGAGAAGTAATAGCATACAGGTGACACGATGATTCATCCTCATGGAGGCACTGCCTTTTGGAAAAAAAAACTCCTCTATTTAGGAAAATAACTCGAAGAAAAGACACAAAAGCACGCGTTTGAATGCCAATCAATATCCTTTTGTGAAAGAAATTCTGAAATTTCCCATGAACTGGACTTTAGACATTTGAAATCACTCGATGACTCGAATTTTATCGAGTCTATTTCCAGTAACTGTTGTCATTGGCTTTCAATCAATGGCTGATGACCACAGACATCTTACGATAGAAGAAAAACATCTTAATGCACCTACGATTCATCCGGATGATTGATATACACGTGCTAACAAGAGTCTACCATAATCTTAATCATATGGAGTTTAAAAATCACGTGTTCGTATCTTCACCTTGAGTATCCTCGACAACCTACGCTACATATTAAAACCCGAGAAAATATGATATGATATTAACAAATTATCGCTGAGACAATCCTGCAATTTTCAACCAATTTAATCACATTCTATGACATATAGCCGCGTAAATTATTATTTCCAACTGTCGAATGATTTTCAATGTCCAATTACATTCGGAGTTGCGTTGTTCACTTCTGGATAATCGATGACTGTATGGGCATGCATGCACCACGTGCAGGTCTCAAGGCCGAGCCGTCAAAACCCAGGAGGGCTACAATGCTGAGGAATTGCTCCCGAAGCAGAGACAAAGATCCTTTTTTAATTTCATGGTTCGAAGGGAGGGAGGGATTGTTATGACCCCGAAAATGAAATGCTAAATTTCGATGATTTATGTTTTGTATGCACAAAGAGAAATATTCGGAACAATTTACGTAATCCGCAATGGAGAATTGTTTTCCGGCAATTTTTGGAGGAATGGATGAGAAGAAATCTGAAACGTTCAGTGAATTTTCAGGTTCATCATCGAACAAAGTACGAAATTGTCACGTAATTTCGAAGAAGTAAAATCTTACAGAAACTTGCCGACTTAATGTGCCTCCAAAATCAAAAATTCTTGAACGTTCAACAATTTTTATGAAGCTGGTGGGTTATTTCTACGTTGCGTTCCGAAAAATTTCTCAATCATTGGGGAAAAATTACGGAACGACTTGTTGTCCACACAGCGGTGAGTCATCAGACGGGTGGTTAATTTTTACGTGGCGATTCGTACAATTTCAGTTCCGACTCACACTTTTTATTGAATTTATACTTCGCTCGCGGATTACGCTTCGAAACCAAATTTTTACGTTTTTTTTCTGGTAATGGTTATTGAATTTTTCTCTCCGTGTGTTTTCACATATTTTGGTGTGCGTATATATGTATACGAATGAAATTGGGAATTTAAAAGAGTCTACTGTGTTACAAGGGCGTAAGAGTTCACTTTTTCGCACGCATGTGTTCGGATCAGTCTGGGAGTGTTGCGATGCAGACAGTCATTTCAATTTCAATATGAAATTCAATTATTAATTATTATTCTCCATTATATCACACGTCGATTGAATATAAACTTAAAGGCATATTTTTGTTTTTCTACATAAATAACTATTTGATTTTATCGCGAAAAATCCTCAAACGGAACGAAAACTAAATTCGGAACGATTCAAAATATATTTTTTTTCATAAAGACGACTCTATTCAACTCGACTAGAAGTGAACCAGTTTGCTTCGTTGCAGTTAAAACACATGTTGGAAAAGTGTTTTCGGACTCATCGACTTTCCTAGTCACCGGGAAGTATCTCTTATTGCGTTTTACTCCATTTTCTCCTTTTCTCCCCCCTCTGACACACATTTTTCTATTTTTTTTTTTGGGTTCCATATGTATACCCTCTCGGGTTTTTACATTTCTGTTCCCGTCCCTATCTGCGTTACCATGGGCCGACTTACTTTATCCCCAACTGCACCCCATTCGGGATTGGACTGCCAGGGAAACCATGGAAAACCTCAGCCGTGCAGCCGGCCGATAATGCAGGGATTGCACTGTGTCAATTGGTCACACTGACTCAATGGGCACAGTGGTTCTCTACATTCGTGCCTAGCGACTGTAGTCCCACGCGGTTAGGTGTGCCTCACATTTTTCTATAATACTCTCTTTTCAACTAGTACCAAAAACAAAAACCTCTACTCACCAATGAAAATCTTGGCTAAAGAAGTCTGTAGCGGAGCCACCCCAACATCGAGCACTACTCCAGCTTCCAAAATTCTACCACGAAATTATTTCGTAATCGAGTTCTGAAATAAAATAAAATATTATTAATTTTATTTCAAGGAAATTCACCAGTAGACAATGCCTTACTTTTCGTCAATTATCCGTGTTCCTCTTTTTTTAAATAACCAATTAACAATGTAATAAAAAAGGGATTAAAATATTTTACTATTACACGAAATATAAACAAACATTTAAGTGTCCCAAGTTTTTTAATTATTAAAAATTTTCCTTCGTATCAAATTCATTATAATTTAAGAAATTTTGGGATGAACAAGGGCTAAAGTGGTTGTTTTTGGGCAGGAGTGCGTAAAGCAAAGCCTCCATAGGAAAAACAACCGCTTTACGCGCACTACACTGTTTCGAAACGCGCACTTTTAAGACAAGTATCACAAAAAAATTCATACATAATCCAACAACTACGATGAGCATTCTGTAAAAAATTCGAGTAATTATTAACATTCTATTTGGCAAATAAAAACCCTCAAAGATATCCAACTACTTCCACGAAAAAAAGTACCCACACATGCCCATTTCCCCGGGGCTTTCCTTCGCGAATAGAAATAAAAAATGAATATGTGGCAGTTGAGGACATTTACACGCGACAGGACAGCAGATGTAACCCCAGAAGTGGGCCGTTAGGCGCCTGTAAAGTAATACGAAACTGGTCAGGAGCAATGATGGCTTAGCTTCCCCTGTAATTATCCACCATTGCCGCCACCTTACGTGCACCTCATGGTCGATAATACATGATTTCTTTATAAACAAATTTAAATGAATTAAGGTCTCTATTTATAATTGTGGCATCCTGCTTAGTGGCTCATCCATCAGGTTTTTTGGAAGACGAATGGAAAATTACTTTAATTGAGGGTATTTATTTTTTATACCTTCGGGCATTATTGCCCGGAAATTGCAACGCACTTCGAGAGACTAGGTAAATTGTTTCTAGACATTTATGGCGATGCCTGGGCACTCAAGGATCATGGTCGATTCAGCGATGGCTCAAGGTCAAGTGAAAATAAACATGAGGCAGATTCATCGGAATAATACTTGATACACGGAAAAAAAAATTGGACTTGAGTATATTTTATAGTCGAGTCAAGTATATGCATAGAATAAAATACACTTTATTCAAGTATATTTTGTACTTGAATGGGGGATGGGTGTTTCAATTCGAGGATTATTATTTCGTATCAGCCCGGGTTGTACCCAGCGCTCTCAAGTGTAATGTAAGGGTCAGACACTAAGTGTGAGAATATAAGGGTCAAAGAGTGGAAGTTGAAAAATGAGGGTCGGAATATTAGAGTCAAAAACTGAGGGCCTGAATGTAAAGGTGAAGGAATGAGGGTCAGAATATTAGGATAAAAAGATTAAGGTCAGAATATAAAAGTAAAAAAGTGGGTGTCAGGCAGTGAGGATCATATAAGGGCTAAAAGCGGTGATCAAGCATAATATATGACTTATATTTAGACCCTCATTGCCTGACGCCCATTTTTTTTTACTTTTATATTCTAACCCTAATGTTTTGACCCTAATATTCTGACTCTCATTTTTTAACCTCCACTTTTTGACCCTTATATTCTGACACTTAGTGACTGACCCTTGTATTGCACTTGAGAGAGCTTGCTACAACCCGGCCTGATATAAAATACTCATCTTCGAATTGAAATACCCATCCCCCAATTGAGTATATTTTTTCCCCGTATATTTTTTTAAAGATGTCTAGCCTCATGTAAATACAGCATCACTTGCTTGAGGGGGGGGGAGGGAGGTGCAATTTATATCGGAAAAAAATATCCTGGGAAATATCTCGGTAATTCAATTACAGAAAAACATTTGAGGAATGTGGAAACAAACACAATTTTGTTCCCTGATACCTTAAATTAAGTTCCTCCGTGCAACGACGGGGTTATAACATATCACATTATTTTACGATTCAAATTAGTAAACAGTAATGATCCATAAATAACAAAGAACAATTTGAATACAATTTTTATTGATTCTTCCACGATGGAAATGGAATGATAAAATAAATGGAGGTCACCTGGTCCAGTGGCTTCTCACTCTCACCCAACGACATGAAGATATATTTTTCACCTTTTTGGTCAGACGTTGGCTCACGGTAGATTCGGTTGTTAACGAATCTCTTAATTGCTATTGGGAATAAAAAAACCTGGAGAATTCCATCCAGGTTATATCCTGCTTTTTCCGCATCGTGAGGATAAATACGTTAACGAGCTTGACGCAGAATCTAATTATCATGGGTAACAAATCTTTGGATTTCTTGTATTCTTTTCGTGATTTTTTGCGATCGTTATCGTTCATCAAATGACGTATGGGGGTACCAACATGGGAATGAATGCCTGTTTGTGAATGCGTGAAAATGTAATACATATTCATATATTTTGCAGGGATGAATATAGTAAGAATATTGTGCATTGTGTTGGGTTTGGGAAGAATATATAGACAAATATAAAAGATAAATCAAAGCACACTGCTTGAAATTTTTTTATCACATTACAGTTCCACTGACATTTTAAGGTATTTCGTCATTGAAAATTGAAATTTTTATGTAAAAATCAATGGAAACTAGTTTTCAGTTCACTTATTTCATGAGAATGAATAGAAATCAAGAAAATTCTGGGTAATTTGGTACTAAATATTCATGTTTTGACTGAAAAATTGAA